AGTTGAGTTTTAAGCCACCGGGTCCGAGACACGAACCGCGGTCGACTACGTGGGAGTCCAGCGACATAGCCATTATGCTAACTGCTGGTTCCCCCAAGTTCTTATTTTTCGCACTACATAACTTTAATCTCCATCAACTCAGAACAAATATTTTTAGTCTGCAATATATTGTAAATAGTATATTTTAATGCATAGTTTTTTGAGATTTGAGATATTAGATGTTGAAGTGATTTTCATACTATGCCATTTAATATTTTCTTATTCTCGGGCCTATAATTTCTCTAGGATAACATAAAAAATTTAGAATTGGAAGTCATCAATTTACAAAAGGAAAAGGAAGAATTGATTCTTGAACTTCAAACAGCAAAAAAGGATGTCAACCAAGCCAAGTAAGAATGAAGTCAATAAATGTTATTTCAAGACTCTACTATATGTGAGGAGCATTAGAGGAAATATAGAAGGAGAAGTAGATGACCCATTTACTGTCCGCAAGAGATTTAAACATATTTGTGGAGAGGACATGTAAACAAAAGAAAAGGGCTGGCCCCATAGCACAATGGTTAAGTGCTGTATAGGGAGATAAGTGCCACATAGCTGACAGTGGTTTGCACCCTAGCTCTGGCAACCTGAGAAACATGCCAGGTACATGAGTGTACATTCCCCAAATCCTGACAGGATGGAGAAATGGAGGAAAAAAGATTACAGCATGAAGATACCCCCTGGGGAGTGCTCTCTTGCCTTCTCTCTCCCTCTCTTTTGCGCACACACTTTCTTTCTCCCTTTTTATCAATACACATGCTTTCTAGCAATTACAAAATAAATAAAAAGATAAGTAGAAACAAAGGAAGTTAAATAATCGAGATTTTAAAAGCACATACAAATTACAAATTGTATAACACGGCACACAATTTGTAGCCAAATTAAGTTTTTAGGCAGTAATTATTAAAGTAATTATACCAGTTTACTGATAGGCCAGAAGGTAGTGTGGAGGTTGGGTTGACTAGATCCCACATGACCAACACCATTGGTTAAGTCCTGGACCCAGTGACTTGAAAATCATACCAAGCACTCATTCACACATGCCCAGAATCCTGAGAGAAGAGTGGAAGAGAAGGAAATGTGGCATGGTCATGCCCCCGGGGAGGGGGGTAGGTGATTTCTCACTTTCCCTCTCTTTTTCTGTTTCTGTCTCTCTTGCAGCAAGCACACATACTGTATAGCAAAAACTAAAAAAAAAAGGCAGAATTCAGTAGTGGGCCAGCAATTGGCATGGAGGTTGAGGTGACTGGATTCCATGTGGCCAACTTCATGGTTCAAGTCCCAGGCCCTGTGCCTTGAAAATCGCACTAGGTGTTGCGTGTGCATGCCCAGTGTCCCAGGAGGAGAAGAGAGGAGAGGGATTGCAGCATGGCCATCGGTCTGGGGGATGATTTCTTGCTTTGCCTCTCTCCCTCCAGCAAGTGCATTACCTTATAACAAACTTTAAAAAAAAAAATAAAAGTTCAGTGGCAGGTGATATCAATTCAGTCTGGTATGACCAAGGAAGGCTTTAGAAAAAGTTAGCATTTGAGCTTGCTTTGAAAGATGATCAGGTCAGGCAGTTTCCACGTCTCTGCACTGATGGTAAATTAGCTTGTGAATAGAATTAATATCCAAGCTAGTGATTAAAAAAAAACAATCCAGGGACCAGCAGTTGGTATAATGGCTAAGTTGCTGGACTCCTATGTAGTCAACTGCAGTTCAAGTATTGGACCCAGTGGCTTAAACTCAGGCTGGGCACATGTGCATGTGTGCCCAAGATCCCAAGAGGAGAATGGAGGAGAAGGGATTGTGGCGTGGCCATCCCCCCTGGGGGGTGATTTCTCACTTTCTGTCTCTCTGTCTTTATGGCGAGTGCACACGCCTTACAGCAAAAACCGCTAATAAAAAAAAAATCAGTCTAGGAGGCTGGCAGGTGACGTGGTTGAAGTGCTGGACTTGGACATGGCCAGTTGCAGTCCAAGTCCTGTACTTAGCAGCTTGCTTTCTCACTTTCCATCTCTCTTTCTCTTTCTCAGTCTCTCTCTGGTCAAATTTAAAAATAGTAATGAATAAAATTAAATAATTATTTTAGAAAATCAATCTAGCATGTTGGCCCTGTGACATAACGATTGATGGAGTTGGATCCCACATGGCTAATCATGTGGTTCTAATTCCAGCACCAGTGGCTTGCAAAACACACTGGATGTGTTTGCATACATGTCCAAAATCCTAATAGTATGGAGAAATGAAGGAGAAGAGGTTGTAGCATGATCATGCCCTATTGAAGGATGCATTTTCCCTCCCTTGCTTTCTCCCTCTCTGGCAAGCACATACACCCTCTGACAATTAAAAATAAAATCTATCTAGCCATCCATTAATCAGTAGGAATAAAATCAGGACAGATAGCCAGATTATTCTGCTCTCCCTCAGACCTCTGCCTTACCTTTCTTTTACTCAGTGATTCTATTTTATTTTCCTGTTGACTCTAAAGCTTATATTCTTAAAAGTTATGTTGGATTTCTTTTGTTTGTTTAGAGAGAGATTTTTGCTATAGAGCATGTGCACTCCCTGGAGAGATAGAAAGACAGAAAGCAAGAAATCACCCCCCAGGGGATGGCCACACCATAATCCCTTCTCCATTCTGCTCTCAGGATTTGGGGGCATGCATACACATGCACCCAATGTGAGTTTTAAGCCACCAGGCCGCGATTCAAACCACGGTCAACTACGTGGGAGTCCAGCAACATAACCATTATGCCATCTGCTGGTCCCAACTGGATGTTTATTTTCTGTCTCAGACTTGTGTAATAATGATCAGAAGTATTCTTTATAGCTAAAGGCAAGTGAACTGCCTCCCGAGAACCGTCCTTTTGACAGAGTGGTAGTGGTGGTGGTAGGGAGAGTATATTGAGGCAGTTGCATTGAAGTCACACTTAGCTGCTGGTAGCTCATTCCTATAACATCTATATTTAGGTTGAGCGAGCGCCGCCGCAAACATCTCCAGGAACTGGAGAGTCAAATAGCTGATCTGAAGAAAAAACTGAATGAACAGTCCAAACTTCTGAAACTGAAGGAATCCACAGAGCATACTGTATCCAAACTGAACCAGGAGATACAGGTAAATAAGCTCTCTTCCTTACATTTGCAACATTGGAATTTACAAATATAGATGTTCCATTTATAATTAAAGATACTATAGAGGTGTTTTCAGATAAAAAGGTACAGGCAGGATAATCATTTCAAGTGGGTAATCTTTATAAATGTGCTTTTTGCAAGACACTGTACTGGTAGTCATCTAGAATCTGAATACTAAAACCTTGCTTTGACATTCATAGTTTAATGTTAGATTCTCTGAAACCGAAGGACAAAGACATCTTAATATTAGTGGTAAAGTAGTAGCAAGATGATAGACACTTAGAAAAAATTTTCTGTTATTGAATAGTGAACCAGTAACATCTACAAAGTGGTGGTTAAGGCCATTTGTACTGAAACCTTTGGGCTACAGTGATTGCTAGATGGATTTATTCATGAGGGTTAATTGATGTTTCCTTGAAATTTCATTTATATACAGTGAGTTTAGGGCTGAATTTAGCTTGTAAATTTTTCTTTTATTTCTTCAGTGTTCATTTGTGTGGTTATACTTGGAAACCCTACGCAAGCATAGCAAGGGATATTGCAAGCCTAACCAGAAAATCTATTGGTGGCCTTCTCAGCTTAGCTCTGGGTTGTTTTGTTTTGTTTTGTTTTTCATTAATTTATTTATTTTTATATTTAGCTCTAGTTTTTTTTCTCATCTTAATGGTAAGTCTGCCCATCTTCACATCAGCCTAGAATAGTGCAAATGACTAATATTTTTACTGGTTTTTGTTTCTACAGATGATGAAAAACCAGCGGGTTCAGTTAATGCGTCACATGAAAGAAGATGCTGAGAAGTTTACAAAGTGGAAACAACAAAAAGACAAAGAAGTAATCCAGTTAAAAGAACGAGTAAGTAAAACTTCTCAAAGGCCTATCTAACAAACTCTTCTCTGGGCCAACAGTATGAAAGCATCACTTCAAATACCAGGTGTCTCCAAAAATATGACATATTCATGAATTTGACAGCTTTATATTAAATGTCTACAGTGTACAAGGCACTTCCACTAGGTAGCTTGGGAAATAGAAAAATGAGATGCCTTTGAAGAATGTCTTCTTATAAGGGAAGGTAAAACATAACATGGATTGCTCAAATAAAAGGAATAAATAATCTAGGCTTTAAGAATGATATAAAATATCAAAGTAACTAAGAAAGGGAAGCACACTTACAGTTAAAGTGAAAAGATGGTAGCTGAGCAGGCCATGAATAATAGGGAGATTTTGATAAAGATAAGAACTGGCATTCCAGATAGAAGGAGCAAAGACACAGAGGTAAAAACTTTGTAGATATGTTCAAGGAATGGCAAATAGTCCGAGCAGGATGTAGGACAATTGTAGAAGATTCAGCTGGAAAAATAGTCAAAGCTGGATTGTTAAAGATCTGAGAAGTTTAAACTTTTATTTTGTTAGTACTGTAAAGAGCTTTAAGATTTTTGAGAAACAAGGTTGTATCAGCAAAATACTGCTTTAGAAAGCTATATGTGGGAGTAAACTGAAGTATTAAGAAACTAGAGGCCAGACAAGTTAAGATACTACATAATATAGGAAAATTGTAATGGTCTGAATTAGAGTTAGAACAATGTTCTTGGAAAGTATGCAGGAAAGAACATTGATTTGGGAAAAGTTTTAGAAGAATTGGCCAGAATATAATGTTGGGTAAAGAGATAAGGAGAAAAGCACATTCAGAATGGCAGGGTAAGGAACTTTATGAGCTCTCTTCCCAGTAAAACAGCAACTGGTAGAGTTTATAAAAGCAACCATTGAAAGGCTCAAGAAACAATCTTAAGGGTATACAGCAAATGGGAAAAGATTAAAAATATCTATTAAATCTCAGAATAGCAAGAATCTGTGGTACATGTTTCACAACCATCTCTCTCCCTTTATCCTCCAACTCCCAATCTATGACTATGATTTCTTCCCAGCAGGAACAGGCCTCCAGAATCATTCATCCCTGATAGCTCTGTGTTGATAATGCTCTATTTCAATAAAGAGCATCTAAGAGGTCTGGGGATTTCTTCTTCCACCTACCCCCACACATGTAGGGTGGAAACTCTT